GACTTGTGCATTCATTTCATAACGAACCCGTACGCACGCAACAATTTTTGGTGGCAGCGGTGGGATTTGAATGCCAATAACAAGAGGGATGGAAGAACAATTGAGACAGCTCATTACTGCTTTTGCTGCTTTCCAAGAAAAGATGGAAGCTGGCCAAACATCTTTTAAAGAAGAAATTAAAGAGAAAATGGATGCTGGTCAAAGGTCCGTTAAAGAAGAAATGAAATTGAGCCAGGAATCCCTCAAGGAAGAAATGAAAACGGCACAGGAACAAATGAAATTGGGCCAGGAATCCGTTAAGGAAGAGATGAAATCTCTTAAAAATGAGATGAAAGCAGGTCAGGACGAAATGAAAAGAAGAAATTACCTGCGTAATAGAAAATAAATTTGAGGCTATGGAAGGCAGAATAGACGCGGTTGAAACTAAAGTTGGACAAATAGAAGAAAGAGTTTCTTCGGTAAAAGAACAAGTAGAAGAAAGAATTTCTTCTGTAAAAGAACATATAGAAGAGAGAGTTTCTGCCGTCGAACAACAAATTGATGATAGGGTTTCTGCTGCCGTCGCCAAAGAAGTAGACAGCCTAAAGAAGTGCATAGCGACGGTAGGAAACAATTCTGAAGGTTTCAAATTTTTATCGATGCCTGCTCGTTCCGTTCTGAAACTATCTACATATGATGGGAAGACCTCCTGGCAGGTGTATAGGACACAATTTTCTATCGTTGAGGATGCGAATGGATGGGATTCCCAAGCTAAGGCCTGTCATCTCGCCGCTTCTCTGAGAGCAGACGCAGCGGATATCCTGCAGACGCTTCCCGAAAATCAAAGGCTAGATTTCGAAGCTCTATCCGGCGCTTTGGAGCTGCGCTTCGGCGAGAAGTGTTTAAAAGACTACAGCAGGCTCCAATTAAAATCTCGTCAACAGAAGCCTACCGAAACACTTCAGGAGCTCGCCACGGATGTTGAAAGGCTGTCCCATCTCGCCTTTTCGGAATGCCCGACAGAAACAAGGGAAATCCTGTCCTTGCAATACTTTATCGACGGCATCCAGGATACTTAAATACAGAAAACTCTACGAATGGCGGATGTAAAAGATTTAAAAAGCGCTCTAGTATACGCCATGAAATTCGAGGCAGCCCAGCAAGCCACTCGTAGAGATCGCTACCCAGTTAGAGCTGTGCGAGTCCATGAGCCAGTGGATCAACTGATGGCTCGTTTAGATGATTTATCCAGACAAGTCGATGCTTTGATACGGAGTAGCAGGGAAAACAAAGTGGCTGTAAGATGTTGGAAGATGTGGTTCTGAAGGTGACCTAAGACGGCATTGCAGAACACCCCCAGGGCACGGATAATTAAAACGGATGAGCCTTGACAAGACCAGTGAATGCTGTTAAGACGGATAGTGGTGAAACCAAAACCGACCCTAAAGTGCTGGAATTGCGGTGTTGAGTGTTGAAGGCCACATACGAAGGAACTGCAGAACTCCCCAGAGCACGGAAAATAAGGCATACGGGATTTAAACAGACAATTAAATGCCACGGCAGACGGAAAAGGACTGACAAGAAACCAAAGTGCTGGAACTGTGGAGCTGAAGGCCACGTACGAAAGAAATTGCAGAATACCCCAGGGTACGAAAATTGAGACAATTTCTGAGCAACGACAGGCAGGAAACAAATTAATGACCATATCAAGGAACGGAGGTTGCCAGATAATGAAAAACCCTGTTTTAAAGCGCTTAAGATCTCTATAGTGAGTGGCAACAATAACGGACTGTCCATCAATGGGAATATCGATGGAGTTCCTTGCAATATGATCATTGACACAGGAGCTAATGTTTACCATCATTAGGAAAGATTTAGCTGAACAGTTTTTAAAGATAAACTTATTTGGACGCCATCCTGTGTTACCCTTCAGACTGCGTCTGGTGACAAGATCGACATAACTGGGAAGTTAAAACGTAAACATCACGTTTGGAAGTGCCGCCTACCATCACACGGCATATGCGGCGGATATTACAGATCCATGCATACTCGGATTGGACTTTTTTAAGGAATACAATTTTTCCTTAGATTTCAAAAACAATAAGCTGCTTTCGGCATCTGATGGCATGTGACTATCCATCCTCAAAAGGGATCCTCGCCTGGAAATGTCGACGCCTTGTCCGAAAGATCGAGCTCGGGAAGCTGCCGAAATCATACCAGGGTCGAAAAGAAACTCAAGACTACCAGCTATTCTCCATCCCAGAAGCTCTTCGGTCGAGACGTTCGTCTGCCTTGTGACCGCCTGTTTAGTCGCCCTACGGATGCGCCTTCATCGCCTGAGGAACACATCCAAGATGCCCAGGCCCGGTTTGAGGGGATGCACCGTTCTGCACGAAAGCGAGTCAGCTTGGCGACGGAGAAAATGAAGATCAGATGCGACACAAGAGCTACTAGACAGAGATCCAACAAAGGAAACAAGGTGTGGTTGTGGAACCCAATTCAACGAAAAGGACTGAGTCCTAAATTACAGTCACCTTCGGATGGTCCATATACAGTGCTGAACACGAATGACGTCGTGGTTCGGATCCGTGAGTCTTCGAACTCTTACGACAGGTTAGCTCATTACTATGGCCATAGTACGTAATGTAAATAATTGTAAATAGTATCAGACCATGGTCCTTTTTGTTTATAAATGTGTATTTAGTATTTGATTTGTATTTAGTATTTGATTTGCATTTAGTATTTGTTTTGTATTTAGTATTTGATAGCATTTGATTTGTTTAAGTTAGTTATTGCATTTATTGTTTATATTGTTTGATATTGTAATGTAATGTTTTTATGCCTCAGTTGCATTTATGCCACAGTTGTAAGTTTAGCTTCCTGTCCAGGGATTGTACTGCCCGGACGTGCAGTCCTTGGGAACGGGGCAGTGTTACGAATTTGGTATTTAAAAAGCTAATGTTAGTTCAATTATAAATTAAATGGTTTATTTCTCGCGCAGTGCAGCGCGTGACGAATATTAAAAGAAAGCTAAGCCGGAAAAATTAAAAATACAAGAGCGCGTGCGTTAAATAAATAAATATCTCATTTTGATTTCGAGAAAGTACTGGAAAATTCTAGCGCGTGATTTAAAAGCTTATAAAGGAGGAAACATCTCAGTTCGTAGTAGTTTGCTTAGTTTGTTGTTATTTAGAAAACTGTTTCTGTTGATTGTAGCGAATTCGCGGATTAGCGTTCTTTAGCTGTTTTGAATTACGTTCTATTGTACATTTAAGTAGTTAAAAGATAACTACTGTGAGATATTGTGATACTGCATGATAATTTGAGAAAATTTAAGCATTTCTGTTGTGATAATAATAAATTTTTGTTCATTTTTCATCGGACTTGTGCATTCATTTCATAACGAACCCGTACGCACGCAACAATATTTATCTTCTTGTTTAACTTTATATTTTTCATTAACTCTTTATTCTTATTAGACTCACAGCAAAAATTCCATTCTGTATAAATCCAGTTTTCCATTTCAGGAATGGTCTTTTTTTTTTTCTTGAATCTTGGGTATCAAAATTATCAGTCCCATCCCCAAAGTGCCGCCATTTTAGCAAGGGTGTCCGCTCTTTCATTTCCGACCATTCTACTGCGTGCTTCTACACAGTGAAATTTAACAATATGTTTTCTTTCAGCCTTTTTAAACAAGTCTTTTACTTCATTAATCAGTCGATTTTTATGATCTGGTTGGGCGAGTGCCTGAAACGCAGATAAGGCATCGGTATAAATATTTATAAAACATCGGACTGTTGATTTTTTATTAATCCAGTTCAAAGCCTCTGCCAATGCGACAGTTCTGCTTGATAAACCAAATTCATTGGTTTAAGTTTTATTCTCACATTGTCTTTTACCACTCCATGAAAATAAATTACCACAGCGGCACCCACTCCATCCATTCCAGAACCATCTGGGGTAAAAACGTCTATTTCGCCACCAAAAGGAAGATCAAACTGTATATTGCTCTGATTTATTTCTAAGCCAATTAATTTTTTGACAGTTCCTACATATATATAGACTTTGTTTGGAGGGGGAATGTGAATGTCGACCTATTCCAGGACCCAGAAAAAATTGTACAAAGTTTGGTGACGATAGCTATAGTAGTGACTGAGTATATCACGAACAAAACAAACACAAAAGCAGACATTCTTCTTTATATATATATATATAGATTAACTTTTTGAAATTTTGAAAATTCAAAAATATGAATCTTTTCGTTATTTAAAACATTTTCGTGACTGGAAGTACATATGTTACGGTAAAACACCGAAATCTGGAGAATGTCGACTTCACCGGTGAATGTCAACATTCACATAATCGCTTCGTGTATGTCCGAAATATTTTCCAAATACTCTTATTTCTGACTTACACCGGTCAATGTCGACATTCACCATGTAATAATGGTGAATGTTGAACACGTAAGAATATTATATTTTTTTCTCCGTAATTCAGTCGCGAAAAACGCTTTTGAAACTTAACATAACAATATAAGAACTTAAAACACACACTGTACATTCAAAATGAGAAAGGAAAATAATAGAATTTAAAACTTACTAAATTACGTGATTCAAATCTTATTTATTGCAACAACTTAAACTCTTATGACACTTTCAATTGCACAAGAGGCCCTTGCTTTTACAACTGCATTTATTTGTGGAACACTTCCTTTTGCAATGACAGCGTGTACATATACTCCTCTCTTTTCGACCTACACCAGAGCATATCTGTGATTGTCGACATACACCGGTGAGGGTCCGAATGTACAAGAATGTAATGCAATATTCGATCTTTCACCGACGTATTTGGTGAATGTTGACATTCTCCGGTGAAAGTCGACATTCTCCAATTTCGGTCTTTCACGGTAACATATGTATCTACGACTAAAGATTGCGAAAATAAAAGCCGGGTAATATCTTTGGTCTATACGATGTATAATATCTCTGGATATATTGTGAATGTTATTTTTTTAGACTTACGTAAGCATTTAGGAGTTGGAAATGTCCATTCTCCAGTTTCAAGGCATCTTGCCGACTCGGATCCTTGCAATCTGAAACCATCGTGGCACGCATATGAGACGATGCTTCCGATCCTAGGCACGCTAGGCTTGATAACAATCTTTCCATTCTCAGGCGCAACTGGAGCTTCACACAAGCCCTCTAGAGGGTTAAAAAGAAGAAAATTGAAATTATCTAAATATGCATTATTAATAAAAAAACGAAGGATCATGCAAATAATTACAATAAAAGTACAATAAAATACAATTAAAAAAAATAGATACACTTAACACGTTGAGCGCCACGTCAGCCATCTGTGGCTGACACTAGATTTTCCGTTTAGGCCGCGTCAGCCATCTGCGACTGACACTAGATTTTGCATTTAGGCCGCGTGAGCCATCTGTGGCTGACACTAGATTTTCTGTTTAGGCCGCGTCAGACATCTGTGGCTGACACTAGATTTTCCGTTTAGACCGCGTGAGCCATCTGTGGCTGACACTAGAATTTCCGTTTAGGCCGCGTGAGCCATCTGTGGCTGACACTAGAATTTCCGTTTAGGCCGCGTCAGACATCTGTGGCTGACACTAGATTTTTCCGTTTAGACCGCGTGAGCCATCTGTGGCTGACACTAGAATTTCCGTTTAGGACGCGTGAGCCATCTGTGGCTGACACTAGATTTTCCGTTTAGACCGCGTGAGCCATCTGTGGCTGACACTAGAATTTCCGTTTAGGCCGCGTCAGACATCTGTGGCTGACACTAGATTTTCCGTTTAGGCCGCGTCAGACATCTGTGGCTTCACTAAACTGACACTAGACCTTTTCGTTTAGGCCGCGTCGACCGCCGCTGGCTGACAGCGTGTAACATGATATATAACTATAAAATTTACACTGTTTTATGAAATTACACAAAATTTATTTAAAATTTACTTAATTTTGATTCATGATTTGATTTTGATTCATTGGATTTCATTGAAACACGGTAAATATAAAAACGGTTCTCCATTACAGCTATTACAAAATGTGACAACACTCTTTTAGTCTTTTTTCTGGCCACTACTCTACCAGCTTCTGTTGCATTTTTATCATAACATAATTTACAATATTTTCGTACTTTGGAGGCTTTTCCCGGTTTTCTTCGGAGTTTATGTTGTCGTTTTCTAGATGTTCTTGCATTTTTGTTCGACGGAAATGTCTTCTTTTTCACAACTTGTTGCTATCTTCTACCGCGATACGAATCACTGGCCCTACAATACCAGAAGCGAAGCGCGTGGCCTGAACGGGATTGCCTAAAACATACGCGTGGCGCTCAACGTGTTAAAGAAATACTTATTACGGCTTTGAATTTCCACGCTACACTCATGTAAATAAAATACTATCAAAATTAATAAGAATGGAGAACTTCTAAGTACCAACCAGATCTAATAGATAGCGCTATCAATATTTCATTTTATAAGTATCATTTAAGTTTCTAACCAGTTATTTTAAGCTAATATCCTTTACTATCAGCCCCGTTTTCATTTTCCTCCCCGAATGTAAATTTCTAGCTCGCGCGTTTTCAAATTAGGTAGAAAGAAGGGAGTATTTAAAGGAATGTTTTGAGGATAACATCAGAGCGTGTTGTGCCTGCTTGAAGGCCACACTGCTAACCGTGATTCTCTAGCGAATAGTATTCTGCGGCATTCTTGCCATTAGGCTTGTTTGCGCCGACTTCGGTCACAGCCAGCTGGCGCGCTAATTATACTGTGAAGCCGTTAGTCTATACTTATATTTCGTTAGCTTTAGTTCGTCCATTATTTTTGATTTAAAGCCAAAGCTACTGGCTTCTGTACGCACATGTTGGTGCCGTCTGTTAAACTTTATTTGGATTAATAAAGGGGCCTTTACACCCTTTCCCTGTCTCTCTGATACTTAAAAGACACAGTAACAATTTACCAGTTGGCTTTTATAGGTCTGGTCTAATTGTAAAGTACCTGATAAGGCCAGACATTATAACTTTCTCCGTCTCGTCTAGTAGGACGGAATATTTGGGACTGACCCCAAGAGTTCTTCTCCCGCAGCCATAGATAAAGCATCGAACTCACCTCGCTCAGGTTGCGCGATACCCGCTGACTTTCCTGCAAAGCAGCATATGTGTTAGCGTGGATACCAACCTATGATTACTCTTTGATTATGTCGAATGACTCACGTCTATTTATTTTTATTACTTGCATATATGTGCTAAACTAATATATGTGCCGCCCAGTGCTAGGGAAGCCTACTGCGGTGCGGAAGGGCCCGGGTTCGAATCCCGGAAATGGGATGGCTGTTTGTAAATGCATAGTGTCTTTGCGGCATGGGGGCACTCTAAACACATGGCGAGCCGGAAGTCCTCTCGTGTGGTTTGTGGCAGGGAAGAGTGGTGGGAGACCTCCAGGACCACCCCCGAAGTTCTCTCCCTCAAAATTGATGTAGAAAGTAGAAGTCCTACCTCCCTGTGGCTCTGGTAACCATTCTTCCATGAAATTACATGGACACGAGAACAGCAACTAATATATGTTGTAATCTAATCAAAGAAGTAGTATAGGATCGTACTCTCTTTGGCCACACAAACTCTACGAGATTCTACTAAGGAACCGCCCACCAGCGGCCGAGCGGTAAAGACGTTGAACACCTGGTAGTTCGGTCCGAGGTTCGAATCCCGCAAACGGGCTGGCTGCATGGGCGTTTTCGTGGTTTTCCCCATGTGTAACGTGTATACGAGCCAGTTTCCTTTAGAAAGTCCTCCACGAAGGCATCCCTCCCTTTAGGCAGATAGCCCTCGTGTGCTTTTCCATAACTAAAATAATCCAATCTAATCATCCTACTAAGGAACCTGACGACTTCTTGCACAGGCTTAAAAGACATAACCACAGAAGAAGGGTAAAAAATAACCCTTTATTATTATCAACAATGGAACAGAAAGGCGCGTACTTCGTGCTTTACAATAACACCGAAAACTTGCGGTGGAAGTTAAGAATCGTTACGCAATCAATTCAAAGCTAAAGAGCAGTGCTGGACTAGCACTTTAAGTTAAGGCTAACTAGGTCGACTCAACAACCTACCCGGCGTGCTAATTATTTAAATAGCCAAAAAAGGCGTATCGGCAACTCCGCGAAACAGCAAGAACGGATTCGTAACGTGCGCTGGCTAGCGAAAACTCGCTCTGAATAACTGCAAGATTCATCCGTTTAAATACTCACTTCACTTAACTTTCAATTAGCGTCCTGGCGAGGAAATGTGAGGGGAAGTTGAGGAGTTCAGAAAAGATAACAAATATTTGAATAATTGGTTAATTGAACTAAGGGAAACCGCAAAATGGATGTAAACAAACGTATGTCATACTCATCCTTGCATCAACACCTTACAATGATAACCCTACAATCGCTCTACTATAGGATAACGCCATACTGTTAAACGATATTCTGTTAGAACAGGAATTCCTAATCCTTTTCTTGTATCGAGCCCCCTTATATTTTTCTCTATAACATACAGTATATAACATAATCATAACACAAATTGCATTTAAATAATTTAAAGATAATGAGATTAGAGACCACCAAAAGTTTTCAAAAAGATAATTTACAAGATTTATGTTTTATTATTTGTCGTTATTGTAATTTATAATTTTACAAATATAAACAAAATTTCAGAAACAAAATTACGGCTTCTGATTGCCCGGAAGTTCAGTTTTAATAAATGGAATGTCTGCGCTTGATGTATTGATGCAATTAGTTTTAATATTTGGCATAAAATTGCTTAATTTTCCATTCCTCAATTCTTAATTTAACCTCATTCGGAAATATTCGACTTGTTTCTTGTTCCAGTTCTTCATTCCTCGCATTTATTTCATTGTGTTTTCTTGAGTTCTTATATATTATACTTATTTGCTAAAAAAATATTATATATTTTTTAATTATCATTTATTTTTAAAATATATTAAATAATAGTCCTCCCGGCATATTGGTTAGTGACTCTGACTACCGTATCAAAAGACACGCGTTCGAATCCCGGAGAAGGCATCAATGTTTGTAAATGTTATAGTGTCTGTGCGGCATGGGGGCACTCTAAATATGTGGTGAGCCAAAAGTCCTCTCGAAACGTTGGTGGCAGAGGAAGAGAGGTGCTAGAATGTGGCCAAAAAGTCCCTGAAAAATATGCTTGTAACAGTGTAAGATATTTAAGATTTGAACCTCTCATCCTGATCGTTGATATGGTAACACAGTTCCTCGTGTGAATTTCAACATGATTGCATCCTAACCGCCGCATGATCGTCCGAGGAGGAGAAAAAAGACTGTACATTGACTAGTTCATTACCTTGCCTTTCTGTGCTTTATGAAGAATGGCAGATAACAGCCATTTTACTTTGGAGGAGCTCTTAGTGGTAAATCTATGGGCTATTAACGGAAGCACAACAAAGAAGATACAACACTAAATTTCGTGAGCATTTCGATACGGTGCCACCAAATGGTCAGACTTTGATAACGTGAGAGAGTTTCTGTCCTGGAAAGTGTTTTGGATGCCCTCGCTCTGGTCGTCCATCGACCCGAAGGCAGAGATGTGCTGTAGCTGCTGCGTCTGTGATGCGTTCACCCTGTAAGTCGACCAAAAAGGATGCTGCAGAACTTGGAATTTAAAAGCAGCACAAAGGAACTACACATGAAAATGGACCTTGCAAGCATTCCGGCGAATGGCCATCAATGAACTAACGGACGATGTCTTGAACAGCTATCAGGAAGCATGCAGGATCTTGTTGGAGACCTTTCCTCTGTAAGTCGACCAAAAAGGATGCTGCAGAACTTGGAATTTAAAAGCAGCACAAAGGAACTACACATGAAAATGGACCTTGCAAGCATTCCGGCGAATGGCCATCAATGAACTAACGGACGATGTCTTGAACAGCTATCAGGAAGCATGCAGGATCTTGTTGGAGACCATTCCTGCCCGGAAATACAATTTGTTCACTGATAAATATGCCATTTATCGGAGTCGTTGGATAGGAATATCTTCATACAGACAGAAGAAAACACACATTTTTACCAGGAAATTGAGAACATCCTCTGTATGTCATGCCTTGAATGCGGAACTGAAGAATACATCTTTGGCCTATATTTCTTTGGGGGTTCTCTGACTCAGGTTACTTATCCGGAGATGCTGAATGTTTGGCTTCTTCCACAACTGCAGAATTTGGGCATGAATGAAACTGTTGTTTAGCAACACGATGAATCATAGAATCGAAATATGGGAAAAAAATTATTTCAAAATAGTCCGATTTTGTGTCAAAATACCTATGTTTGAACCTTGCTATATATAAATCTAATATATATCCTAAGTCGCGCTTTCGAGACATAGAAAACGCAAGTTAAGTTTCGACAGTCGGTACAGTAGAACGGGAGGTATACAACTGTCCCATTTTTATTTTTATTTATTTATTTATGTTGTAGAGTTCCTTACTTTGGGATTCTAAGTCAATGTTGGAAGTGAAGAATCTAAGAACTGATAAGCGAATAATAATCGCTTGAGTTCGGTATCAAGAAACAACAAGATAGAAGGGTAACTAACCCTTATTAATTATTTCAATAAGATTTAAAAAAACTCCGCCTGGAGTGTACAAGTAAAGCCCGCACTTGGACTTGAACTTAAAAGACTAGAATTAAACTAAAACTAAGATTAACTAAAGAAGTATAGCCGAAGCTATCAAGGTTCAAATCGAGTTGGCCCCTTAACTTGTTTGACTACGAAGCTTAGCAAGGGCCTGAGTACGGCCGAGCGTAATAACAGCTTTGAGAGAGAAAGTGGCCAAAAAGGCAGATGCGCGTAAATCAGAAACTCTGATTCTCTCTGCCTCTGTAAATAACTTCGTGGTTTAAATACCGCTCCTCCTCATTAAATATTCAGCAAGATTCCAAAACTACGTTCTGCCGGAAGTAGTAAGTTGAAGTTAAGAATTTGACAGGAAAGGAACTTTAACTTAAAATTTAACTGTTAATAAAATTAACATAATCCTTACAATGTATTTATTTTTTCTATGCAAGGTTTACAATCACAGTATGTTTGCATCAAAAAATGCATGGCAAATATCACTCCGGGAGCGTATTTCTGAAAGAAATATAATGTTTCACAGATTTAAAAAGTTACATTTAGTACCTAAATTATTAACATACCAGTACATACAGGCTCGACACCACTCCATGTACCATCCCCAGTGCAGATCCTGGGCTGCTTGTTACTCAAGCTATACCCTTCATTGCATCTGTACTTCACCTCGGCTTCATATTCAGTCGAGGAATAAATTGCTTGCCCATTTTCTGGATTAGCGGGATATCCACAATGAATCTCTGAAATTGGACAAATAAATAAAGAGTTTAAATACCTTTTGTATTGAAGTTATTAAAGTATTACTACGCTGATTTGCGGAGTTATTACTTTTTAAGCGGTTTTTATGAATTCCAATGCTGTCCTACATTTGATTTCAACTCACATACGACATCTCCAGAATACAGATACCAAATATACACTCATGTCTATAAATTAAGGATAATGCAAAATCAGGCAAAGGAAGAGTTAGAAGCAAAACAAATTTGACTTATTTGTAAAGCTTATTTATTAAACAAAAGGTAAAGAGCAAAAAAAGATGCCATATGTTTGATATCATTAAAAAAATTAGGGATTCTTTCTCCCTGCAGCAAAGTACAAAAAACACCTATTTACAAAAAACCAATATTACATGGTTGGTATGATTGTTAATACATTGTATGTCTCCCAGACGATGCAATACAGTCCGTACAACGCCTAGGCAGCTGAGTATCAAATTATCGATCTGATCCTGGGGGATATTACACCACTCAAAAAGCAATGCTCTCCGAAGTTCCGGTAGACATGTAGGAGGAGGTTGACGGGCTGCAACTCGTCGGCCAAACACGTCCCACACGTGCTCTGCTGGATTCAAGTCCGGTGAGAATGCTGGCTAGTCCATACGGGTGATATTCTCCGATTGAAGGCATTCCCTTACGATGTTTGCACGGTGAGGACGGGCGTTGTCATCCATAAACACAAATTGTGCGTCCATGGCGGCCCGAAACAAAAGTACATGTTGTTCCAGAATGACGTGTCGATAGATTTGGCTTGTCATGGTTCCAATTTGAACATGCAGGTCACTTCTGGAACCCAGAATAATTCCACCTCAAACGAGCACTCCTGCACCACCGTAACGGTGTCGTTCAATGATGTTTTCTTGGTGGTAACGGGTAACTGGAGCTCTCCATATGAAAGTCCGGCGAGAATCAGACTGCAAGCTAAACCTGGACTCGTCGGAAAACATCACACAAGCCCACTGTTGCGGTGTCCACGATGCATGCTCTCTACTCCAGGCTACCGCAGGCGACATTGAGTTGCAGTACGTGGAACGCATTTGACAGGTCTACGAGCATATAGACCAATCTGACCTAAGCGTCTGTACACGGTCTGCCTTGAAATTGTCGTACCAGTGGCTGAAGAGAGCTGACGAGACAGGTCTGAGGCTGTGCTCCGCCTGTTTCGTGGCAGTAACTGCCAAATACCGGTTCTCATTCGCCGTTGTAACTCTGGGGCGACCTGTGCTGTAACGTCTATTCACATCTTGGAATCGTTGCCAAAGCCTGGAGATGACACTCTGGGCAATTCCAAGTTCCAGTTGGGTACGCCCACATTCCAGACGACCGATAATTCTACCACGTAAAAAATCATCCAGATGCGTCCTTTGTGTCATAACTACTCGGTTAATGCACTGAAATGCTTATAAAGCACCTGCGAACAATTTTACTTCTTTGCCTTTATTCCTTATATATCACTCTTTTACGCTCTCGTCATTGTGACGTACCATCGGTGTCATGTGGTTACTTCCTGAAGTTTGCATATGATTCTTGAAGATGTGTAGTGATTTTTACAGGTGATATTATTTATTTTAGAGTTCGATTTCCGCGTGACTCCGAATTATCCTTAATTTATGGACATGAGTGTAAATGTAACAGCGTATAGTGAACGTGAGAAGAATGAATACGTGTGGAAATAATTTGAACCAGTTGCCAAATACGAATGCTGCCTTTGTAGCAAAGAATTAGAAGATGTTCTCAAATACTGTTTCATCGTGAATATTTTTATTGTGAAACCAAGAATTTTTAGAAATAAATTACCGTATTTTCCGGCATATAGCGCGAATCTATAATTTCAAGCTATATTTGTTTGTAATTTTTAGGTATATTCTCCGTTTTACACGTACCCAATTCTTCAGAAAAAAACCTAGAAGATGCATGTGCAATGTTGTTATCTTTTGAGGTCGCTTATTCGAAGATTTGTCCTAGCCTTTCGAACAATGGCATACCAAACTAACAAGCGATAAGGAAAACAAAATGTGTGTGGCGGTTAAATGCTTGATGAAGTAAATAGTCCTGCAAAGAGGGTGGATTGTATTCAATGCAAGTGCCCAAAGTAATACTATTGTAGAATTTCGAGAAAGGGAGATATAATTTGGAGTAATATTGCCCTTTCAACCCGAAATAATTCGCGGAAACAGGATTCAGACGAACGCACAGTATCATTCGATGAGATATGAAGAGAAAACATTTAATTTAATTGCTTAATATTAAAGAGGTAATATGGCCTAAAATATTAATCAGTAGATAACTTTATATAGATAAGCGGCTAAAGTGTGTGTCGCCGATAGTTTATTGTTGCCACTCGGAAAAATGAGCGTGGAAAATTAACGTTTCCGCAGTTTTTAATAATTATCTCGGCCGATTAAAGTCGTACAAAGATGAGAAAGATATCGATGGATTCGGAGAATTTTTTGGAATCCGAGGATACGCGTCTCGAATTCCAACTCGTCGCCGTTCCGTAGATATTCGAGAAAAAAGCATTTGGCACGTAGCCAAATCCCTGTAATAGGGAAAACCCACGAAAAAAAGTGGAAAATGTAGGGAAAACGTACGGGAAAATTAGTTTTTAATTAAATATCTCGGCTAACTAAAGTCCCTAGAAGACGTGAATACGTTTCTCTTTCTGTAGTCATTTGAAGCCGTAATTTTGAAGTGAACATCGAAGGCTTTAGTTGAAATACAGTTGATCTAGTGTTCCTTTTAGTAGAAAATATGGCTTCTGCCAAACGAAACAACACAGTGCTGGTTTCAAATGCAAAGTCATTCAGTCTGCGAAAGAAAATGGAAATCGTGCTGCAGCAAGGATGGTCGGTGTAGGTGAAAGATGGAACAGGTGATGAATATTTATTTTTGGGTCAGTGTAACAATGATGGTGAAAATGAAACAGAAATCGATGATGTGCTTGAAGAACGAACATTTCATGTTATCTGATAAGGAAAAGTTTTTAAGTTCAGAAATAAACAGTATAAGTACACGTAAAAATGTAACTTTTGTATGCTGACTTTTTTCCATAGCTTGAATCTATCACTTTTATATCCTGCGTAAGAAATATAAACCGAGCTTTGTTGCTAGGCAACCGGATCTTTCTACGCCACTTGGTTTAAATATTTTGCCTAAATGTTCTAACTTTTCGACTTTGTGCCAAGTTGGTAGGTTACGGAGGACTGGAACGCCTGGTGTCTAACAGAGGTAAACAGGCATGTGTTCCACGCCCTCCTCTAACTACAGCAAAAGCTTTCTGGAGCCACACGAGGCTGCACCAGGAGATTATTGAGGTTGTCAAAGGGAAGTACATGGCCTTACAAGGGCATTAGTAGGATTGTATTACAGATTGAAGAGGCAAGCTGTGGTGTTACAGATAGTAGGTAGTTAAACTAAAAATACTTGTGCAAATAAGACGTACACAAAGGAAGACATAAAAACACGTAAACAAACAATACACAAAACACAATGCGTAAAATGCATAAACAGAGAGCACATAAAACAGGTACATACACATAGACACTTAAGGCACAAAAAAAGACAAATGGAGTGCCAAGTTGGTATAAGAACCGACCAATCACAGCGAAGCAAACACGAACTGGCATTCGTCCCACGGTTTCGCGAAGTCTCAGATGCACATTTACGCAAGCGCAGCTTCTCATTCCTTGAATGGCTGTCTCTTACAAAGGTGTCAACATACGTAATGACTCTCACGCCAAATTGGTTGAGTTTCTTGGATTACAGTTTGAGTTGGCGCTTAGATTATATGGAAAACAGTCGCTGTGGAAAACTCCAGGAGTTTCTGGGTTAATAACTTTTTGGCGGACCCGATGCCTTTACAGTTACTTAAACACATAAAACTGAATTACTTTGTACGAAATTACAGTAGTTCTCCTGTAATAGCAGGCGAAAAGCTGTATGGCAACACATACTCACTTTTGCACGTAGGAAGGGTTCCGCTCCACGAACCACTGGCTAAACAATAACGAGTTGATAATCCGTGGATCTCGTAGCCATCTTCACACTCGTACTGCACACTGTTTGGAAAAGTGAAAAGGGATCCTATGCGTTGGGCATTAGACACAAACCCAGGATCGCCGCAGGATCGAGCTGGAAAAAGTAAAAACGAACGCACAGTATCATTCGATGAGATATGAAGAGAAAACATTTCATTTAATTGTTTAATATTAACGAGGTGATATAACCTAAAATACTAATCAGTGTAATATTAAACTACATATAATCAGTATAATATTAATGTGTTGAGAAGTAATCCATAGCATTAAAATAAACACTCCTGCTAAAGAGAAATACGACTTCAAATGAAAAAAATCTGATGTGGACACCTTGTATGGAATATTCAATAATACGGTGTCCGCCGATAACATCGCGCAAAAACATCGCGGACGAAAACGTCGCGGAGAAAACAACTCAAGGCGAAAACGTCGTGCTACAAAACATCGTGGGAGAAAACATCGCAAAGAGAAAACATCGCAGTTCTAAAACATCGTGGTACAAAACATCGAAGTCGAAAATAAAGCGATTCAAAAACTTCGCAGTTTAAAAACATCGTCGTCGAAAATATCGCGGTAAAAAATAAAGTATCTACAAATCATCGCATGACAATAACATCGCAGATATGCTTTTTTTCAGGTTTTAATAATTGTAAATGGATATTCCCATAATGATTTGTGAGCGCAAGATGTAAAGAAGGATAATTTTTACTTTCACATTTTTTTATTAACTAATAAATTTTTGCTGAAAAAGTAAGAAGGAAACTTAAGCATAGAAAATTAAGTGCAACTCGTAGATTATACTTTTCGTGAAAAATTACCAGTAAAAACTTTATAAAATATGATTTATTAATGGCCTTTGTTAGTTAACTATGTCGGTTTAAAATTCTATTAAGTACTATAAGTTGCATGAATTTTCTATGCTAAAATCTCCTTCTTATTTTCTCAGCAAAAATTTATTAATTAATAAAAAATATGAAAGAGAAAGTTATCCTTTTTTCCAACTTGCGTTCACAAATCATTGTGGGAATATCCATTTATAGTTATTAAAGCCTGAAAAAAGCATGTCTACGATGTTATCGTCATGCGATGATTTGTAGATACTTTATTTTTTACCACGATATTTTCGACGATGATGTTTTTAAACTGCGAAGTTTTTGAACCGCTTTATTTTAGACGACGATGTTTTGTACCACGATGTTTTAGAACTGCGATGTTTTCTCCCACGATATTTTGTAGCACGACGTTTTCGCCTTGCGTTGTTTTCCGCGACGTTTTCGTCCGCGATGTTTTTGCTGCGATCTTTTCGGCTGTAACCCAATAATACACATTTTTTGCTGCATTTCATTTAAACTTATTTCCTCGAATTTCATTAGAGATTTCTCATTCAATGAATTCAGTTCTCACTTCGCGAAAAGGCAAAAATACATAAAACCTCAAAATATTTTCATTAATAATTGCTTATAGAAAAACGTTATAAAATATATCCGTCTTAGGCCACATAAATTAATCTTGATCCTACTAATGAACTTGGCGAATTCTCGCACAGGCGCGAAGTAATACCAGCACAGAAGAAGGGTGAAAATGACCGTTTATTATTTCCAATTATGAACAGAAAAGGCACGTACTTAGTGCTTTACAATCACACCGAAATCTTGCGGTGGAACTTAACGTTATTATACAAATCACTTCTCTAAATAGAAGAGTGCTGGATTAGCACGCTAAAAGTTACGGCTAACTTAGGTTGACTCGATAAACCTAACAGGCGTGACAATTATTCGAAATGGCCAAGGGGCGTATTAAACAGCAACATCAGAAACGAAACGTGCGCTGGCTAGCGAAAACACGCTCTGAATAGACTTTAACCTGTTTAAATACTCACTTCATGTAACTTTATTTACATCCTGGCGAGGAAATGCGAGGGGAAGTTGAGGAGTTCAGGAAAGATAACAGAAATTTGAATAATAGGTTAAATAACTAAGGCAAACCCTACAATGTAAAACGCCAAATACAGATAAACAATTAAAAAAACAATCTTTAAAATTAAAGTTAAGAGTTCCTACTCAGAAACAAGCAATTCAGCCATACGGCAAGAAGGCAGATTTTTCGGTGCACAAAAGTGTAAGTTTACGTTTAGTCCCAATCGGCTAAAAGACACTGAAGGTGCAGAAAGTGAATAAATTTACTATTCTGTTAAGTTTCAAATGTAAACAAATATGGCTGCTGTGCATAAAGAAAACTTAGGCTTAGCCGCACCTAAACAACTTGTTGATAATTCTACAACTATTGCATGCAAATTAACTAAACACATAAAACCCTAAACCGGAAGATAAGAGCAACATAATTCAATCATTTTTAAGCAAAAAATGCATAATTTACCAACATATAAGAATACAAAAAACTGAGTTATGAGAGATACATGCATACAAACATACGTACGTACGTACAGATGTCAGCGAAAAATCTCTTCTGAATCCATTTTAGAACTCTACTTCGTACAAGGAAGTAAAAACGGTACAAGATAAGGAAAAGTTTTCGAAGTGAACTATTGCCACCTATTCTTTTACTATTATAAATTATTTTAGTATTAAGAAAATGGAATTTATGAAAAGTATTCTATAAATTATTCAATTCCTCTCTCACTTTAAATTATGCAGAATATATTACGGTGAGGAATTAGTTAATAATTTAACAATAACTTACGCTTGCAGCGAATCAGTGGTTCCGTCCATTCTGGTTTTCCATTACTTTTTGATAATATACATCTGGAGGATCCTATAATCACATCGGAAGCATAACCGAAGTCACATCTGTACGTAACATTGGACCCCAAAGGATACTTTTCCCTATCATGTCCACTAGCTATAACAGTTCTGTTATATACAGGTGGCGGATCACAAGTAACCTCAGCTAAAAAGAAAAAAAAAAAAAAAATTAAACATTAAAGATACTTTTTTTTTATTGCAACTCTTATCAGAAGTCAAATAACAACAGATGGAAGTTCGAAAATGCTGCCTTTTAAATACTACTCGCATTTACATCAAAATTTATATTCTTAAGTTAACATTTTCAGGAAATCTTTTGTTTCATTTACCTGTATTAGGTGTTACAATGAAATCATTTGCGACAATTACACATATTTTGTCCAAGACGCGTGAAAAAATGACCACTTCTGGTGTTATGGTCAGAGACCATCGCCCACAGAACACATCCCTTCAAATCAGTCTCCATGGTACTCATGAACACGGTTTTTCTTTTTCAACCAGAGTGCAACTTTGAATGTGCTGCATTCCCACACTGTTCTTACAGGCTTTTCCTTGGTGCTGCAGAGTGCACATCGTCGTGATGTTGTCTTCAATGGCCGATGCTTATTTTCTACACTGACTACCAATAAATATTTGGACACCTGTGATAGAAAAGAAAAACTCACTTTATTCAAAATCAATAGTTGGTAGAGCCTCCACGAGAGGTAATTACAGCGTGGACCCTCCGAGGCATACTTTCCACAAGTCTTTGTATGACAGCTAGTGGTATTTTCTTCCACTCGGCTTGGAGAAGACATAGAAGTTCCTTCACCGATTTTGCACGGGTGGTGCACCCCTGAATTCGTCGATGCAACTCGTCACAGAGGTTCTCGATAGGGTTCAGGTCTGGACTCTGGGCAGGCCAGTCCATTCGATGAACTCCATTGGCACCATACCAAGCTTTGGTTAACGTCGAAACATGACAACTGGCATTGTCGTCCTGAAAGTAACAGGGGTCCAACCCGTAAAACTGCCACAACGTAGGAAGCACATTGTCATCCAAACTAGTGCAGTAGGCATCGGAGTTGAGCTTACCATGAATGGGGAAACACCCCCAGGCCATAATTCCACCTCCGAAGAACCTGACTGTTGGCACAATACATTCTGGCAGGAGACGTTCTCCAAGTAGACGCCAGACCCAGACCCTGCCATCCGAACGGTAAAAGGTGAACCTTGATTCGTCACTCCAAAGAACCCGTTTCCACTGATCTACGGTCCAATTTCGATGTGCTTTGCACCACATTAACCGAGCAGCGCGGTTGGACTTTGTGATCAAAGGCTTATGGACCGCAGCACGACCATGAAAACCAAGCAGATGTGCTTCCTTACGGATGGTATTCATTGAAACAATAGTCCCGGATGCCTGTTGAAACTCCTCGCGGATGAGGGCCATCGGTTGGGTGCGGTTCTTCCGAATTTCTCTGGACAGCAGTCGTCGGTCTCTATCTCCCAGTTTCGTTGGTCTGCCGACTCGGGGCACATTCCGACAATCACCGCTCACCTTCCACTTCTTAGTCGCATAGGCCACTGTCGATTTTGAGTACTTCAGATTGCTAGATATGTCCCTTACGGATCGGCCACTTTTGTGATACCCGATAATTATACCTTTCTCGAAATCAGAGAGCTCCGAACTGCGAGGCATCTTGCATGCGACTAAAGCCGATGCTGTTTCGTACACGATATATACCTGCGGAGTCCGTGACGTACCTTAGGACCGCATATATCGTCATTTGCATAGGTGTCCAAATACTTATTGGTAGTCAGTGTATATTATATGCCAGTAGTTAACGAACTGCTGCATCAACTACTGGCTTATGTTTCTTAATTGCCATCTTGTGAGCTACACGGGAACTTCAGAAACGATCAGTCTTGAAAACCACTCAAACCAGTGAGTAAGACGATCAATAGGAAAGGTGGTTACTGTAGGTAACCATCGCCCTTCAGCGAGTTAAGATCACGAAAGGATAATCTATTGAGTTGTAAGAACGGGCTTTTTTACACACTTATCAGCAAAATATATAAATATTTATAACAAAATTATCGCAAACATTAACAATACTTATTAAGCATTAAAATATTCTGTAAAGCATCAGTTCTATCTGGGGATCGATGAACTTTTAAAGGGGTCATTAATGATTAAGTCGACTACGCACTGGCAATTAATCGACATAACCAAGATACCATTGACTATAAAAAAATATTAATAAGATGGATAATTTTTTATTGGTATAAAGCTATACATTAGGAAGTCAAGACTTATCCAAAACGAATGGGTACGCTAAGTTTTGGAATTTAAATGTTATAGGACGGCATGCCGTAAACTGCAAGCGATAATTAATTTACATTCTGGTGACAACTATGAAAAGAAAATGCTAACACCTATTAATGTAAATATTTTATACAAATTTTTAAAAAAGTAATTAAAAAAATCTGAAAGGTTACAGATTTTAAATTACGTCCAAAAGGGCGTTTTTTTTAACGTTTTGTGTGTTACCTTTATTTATTAAATATAATGTTCTTTGCACTTAAACCATAAAACTCAATTCAGTAGCAATGTCGCAAAATAATTTTAAAATGAGCATATCTTTTAGAATTTCCGATACACAGTTCCGCGCCCGCTGGAGATAAAAAGGTTTTTTCTTCCCGCCCGTAGAGTGTTGCCATTGCTCGCTTTTAAATTGTTGAGTTTGTTACTCAAAAAATTCGTTAAAATTTTACAAAATATGAAATCGATAATAAAACAAATTCCAAATTTGGCCTTCCAGATGTCCATATTCCAGTGAAGGATTACGTTACTCAAACTTGGATGTAGTATCTAGGTGCCCTTGTTTTTTCACAATGCGAGAAATAGACTGTAATGAATTTTTAAAGAAATCTCGCCATTTTGATCGAAAACCCAACTTTTATTTGTCAAACTGACAGAAAAACTGAAAAACAATTTTCGGCGCATGCGTCTTCAAGCACGGATATTTTATGCGCAAGGTTTTTTACATTTCTTACTGATATTATGTTGGTAGGGTAGCAACACAAACACGTTAGAATCCTAAACTCCTTACCTTGTTAGCTCCTTACATTAGGTTATTTCGAAGCCGAAGAGATGAAAAATGAGCAACGCCTTCGCCGGGAATCGAACCACGGACCTCTGGAATACGCGCCCACCGTACAGACCACTACACCACGAAGGCACGCTAAGAAGGCGGGAGAAATACCTTATACTCTCAAGGGTAAATTTTCGAAGAAATTTTCGAAGAAAAGTTTTTTTTTTTTAAATTCTACGGAACTTTCAAGCCAAAATGTTTAGTTTAAATACATTGCTGGCCACCGTAAATGCAACACCCTGAAGGAAGCATGGAAATAACCATGAAATTTACAACATGCATTAGTGGAGGTGAGATCTGCAAATGATTAGAATTTCAGCGCAGACGCATATCACGCGCGCCCGAGGCGCCACTTCAAAGTGCTATTTAAGGCTTGGAGTTTTCGACGATTTCAAGTTCGGCAATTGTGTTTTTCTTGTGTTTAAAAAAAAAAAAAAAAAAAAAAAAAATCAATTATGCCTCGTATTAAACAGCGATCATCGTTTGATCAAGTATCCGAGTTCGACAGAGGAAGGATAGTGGCCTACCGAGAGTGTGGATTATCTTTCAGGGAAATCGGTAGTCGTGTTGTATGAAACCAAACAACTGTAATGCGGATATGTGACCGTTGGATGCAAGAGCGTACAACGTACCGACATGTTGGATCGCATCCACCTCAGTGCGTGATGACAGGAACATTGTGCGCATGGCAGTGACGGATCGCTCAGCCTAATCACGAACCATAGCTCAGCACAGAGTCTGTAACGCATGATCCAGTGTCTGCGCGTACCATTCGACGCCGTTTACAGCAGAGTGATCTGTCCGCAAGACGTCCATTGCTTCGTCTACCCTTGGAGCAGAACCACATACGTCTCCGCCGCCAATGGTGCGATGAAAGAAGGATGTGAACGGCAGAATGGAATGAAATTGTCTTTACTGACCAGTCACGCTTCTGTCTGCAACACCACGATGGTCGAATTCGAGTCTGGAGACACCATGGAGAGAGGATGCTGAACAGCTGCGTTGTGCACCGTCACACTGGTTCTGCACCGAGTATTATGCTATGAGGTGGTATTGGATATCACTCTCGCACTCCTCTAGTACGCATTGCCTGTACTTTAAACAGCCAGCGCTACATCTCCGAGATCTTGGAGCCAGTTGTCCTTCCTTACCTTCAGGGCTTGCCCATAGCCATATTTCAACAGGATAATGCGCGACCACACATGCCACGCATTCTCCAAGGGTTTTTCGTCAATTGCCAGATTGAATTGCTTCCCTGGCCGGCTCGCTCTCCGGATGTTTCGCCGATAGAAAACATGTGGTCCATGGTTGCTGAACGATTGACCCACATTACATCCCAAGCTGCCACAAAAGATCAACTCTGGCAACATGTGGAAGCTGCTTGGTCTGCTGTACCCCAAGAACATATCCACGGTCTCTTTGAATCAATGCCGAGGCGTGTGGCAGCGGTATCTGAACTGATAAAAATTTAAACAATAAAGTTTTAAACGTCTTGGAATATATATTTTTAGTTGTGAGATGTCTGGATACAACGACTTAAATTGTCAACATTTTAATGCTGCTTTCCCTTTCTATGCGCAACTTCGTAGTTAAAAGGTTGTAAAAACAAAGCCCATCGTAATAGTCTAGCATTAGTTCCAGTGTTTTCATCCAACCAAACATGATTATGATTATGATCCTGTATGTTCATCGTTCAGACTGATCATAAGCCTGTATGAAACCATAGAAACGATGAACTAGAATTTAAACTTTTGCTCTGCAAAGACAAAGGCAGCACACACACCCTCCTTTCGATTTACTGTACTTCTGTTCAGAAGGCGAAAACTTTTTGCTATGAAATATTGCTGAATGTTCTTCATCTTTAGCATTTATCCGTGACAAGACAACGACAATACCAATATTCGAAGCGTCGCACTGAATGATAAATGGCTGAGAAAGGTTCGGACTGTATAAAACTGGATTTTCTGTTAATCGTTTCTTGAGTTCATCAAAAGCGTTTTGGCACTCA